ATTTGAATGAGAAGTTTAAAGTTGCGTTTTGCGAAGACAACCAAGCAACGATTCACATCATTCAGACTGGTAATTCCGCGCAGCTTCGTCATGCTGACAGAACTCAAAGAACTTCGTTGGCGTGGCTTCGAGAACAATTCACGAAAGGTTTCTTCAATCTCGTCAATGTCAACACTGTGTATCAGGTTGCGGACATCTTGACCAAGCCGTTTACGAGCAAAGCAAAATGGGATCACGCGTGCAATCTTATTGGAGTACGGTGGGTGCAGTTGGATGGAAACATTACAATCAAACCAGCTCCCACTAGCGAGGCGCAAGCTTCCGCCGTTTCCACGCATGAAACCTATGATCGGTTCTTGTGCGAATTTTGCTGTTCTGATGATTCCAAGCTCGGCGACAAATCAAGATTACCAGCATTTGGTTGCAAGGTGCTTAGAGTAACTGAGCGTCAGAATGCGTTGGTTGCTGATACATTGAAATGGGTATTTGATGAGGTGCAACTTTTCAGGAAGAATGTCAAGTCCAAAACGCCGCCCTGCGTGATGCTTCATGCTTCACTTCCGTGTACGGGTGGGTGCCCCTGGAACAATATCAATGGTCAGACTCAAGAAGGTCAAGCCAAGATCCAGGAGCACAAGGCGTTGTTTCGCAAACTGCTGAAGCGTTTGGACAAACTTATCACTATGCTTCGACAGCTTGACATTGTGCTTGTGATCAACATGGAACTTCCTAAGCTTTGCAGTTATTGGAAGAACTATTTCGTGCATGATTTCCTCATGAAATATGAGATGGTCAAGTACAATTGCGATGGTTGCATGTTTGGTGTCCTGGACAAGGATGGAAATTTGTTGCAAAAGTCATGGACTATTGCTTCTTCCTGTCAATCGTTGGCCAAACTGCAACAGTATAAGTGCACAAAGGATCATCAGCATGGACAGTCCAGGGGGGCGGCCCTCAAACGTGCTGAATCTTACACGTATGAAATGACTGACCTGATCCATGGATGTTTTTCTGAGTTTGCTGACAGCATGAAACAGGTTGTCACCGATAGCTCGGCTCAGAGACCCACAAAACGTGCACTTGTTGCTCTTAAGCTTCCCTCACCGGTAGCCGCAATGGCTGCTTACAATCTCGGGGAGTATGACGAGGGCAACTTGGAGTACTGGCGAGGTGTGATGACGAGCTTCACGTCGAACACCTTGTTCCAGGAGACGAGGCCTGAGGATCGCAAGACAATGGAGCAGATCCTCGGAGCCCAGGCCACCCTTCAGAGTTCATGCGCTATGTGGTCGGCTGACTACGCGCCGGAGCTCATGGATACGCTCTGCGCCGTTAACGACAAAGGTCTTGGCCGCATCACGCCCGGGGCAACCTGTGGCCGGAATAGCGTATACCTTGTTGTGAGTGACTCCAGCCTCGCCCTCATCAGCGGTGGCAAGAAGAACCGCAAGAGGGCGGATTTGGCGCAGGACATGAACTACAACCGCAGCACTGGTTGTACCCACTGTGAGGTGAGAATGTGTTGGGGAAAGGATCTCACATTTCTCACGTGGACAGTGAAGAGCGCCATGAAGGACTTGAAGAAGCGCCCTGAGTTTAAGGACCACGACTTCTACGTGACGGTGTACTGGTCCGGGAACGAGCTCGTTGGCAGTGGTGGGATCTGCGATGAGCCCGAATGGCCATACCGTTGCGGAGACGGTCACTGGCCCGAGCTGTTCAACAAGTGCGCCAAGGCGATCGATGTGCTTGAGGAGTGCAGGAGTTGGTGGAGCATTGCAAACATCACGATCTTGGCCAACACCGAGGGTTCGTACTACATGCTCCCGCCCATCTACAACCAGTTCATGGAAAAGTTGTTGGATGAGACGCTCAACAAGCACAAGCTCCTTCGCAAGAAGGAGTCGACGTTCTTGGTATCTCGTCAGGACCGGCTTGACAACTATCACATGGTGGACTCCATCGAGAACCGGAAGACGACGGTGGAGTGGCTGTGGTCGTTGTACAACGTCATGAAGTGTGTCGCTGTCGTTGAGTCCCACAAAGAAGATTTCAACAACATCAGGTTGTACCTTGAATATTCTCATGACGCTGATGCTGGACTCAATCCCAACACGTTGGCCGAGTACGAGGCGAACAGGAAGCTCACTCTGGAGTCGTGGGAAAGCCTTCAACGTCCGATCAAGCTCGCGAAGGGCCGCATCCTCGAAAAGATCGAGGAAGTCGAAATCAAGGAGGAGATCGACTATGATGACGATGATGCACTCCCGCAAGGGAGTGCCGCTGAGGCTGCGCTTGGCGTCAAGGCCGCTCCGGCTACACCCAAGTTCACCGCGAAAGCATCGCCTAAGGTACAGGCGAAACCATCGCCCAAGGTACAGGCGAAACCATCAACTGCTGCGGTGGCATCGGATGTGCGGGGGGCAACCCCTGCCGGAAGCGCGTTGCCAGGCAAGCCCGGCGGAACCGTCATCTTCCGCGGCCAGGAGTATGAGGCGAGGATTCTCCCGGGCACGATCCTGAAGGTGCCCAACTTCATGAAGGGAGAAACGTCCTCTACCGATCGGTGCACAACCATATCTGGTATGCTTCGTGGCAGGTTTCAAGAACAGAGGCCACTCGACTTCGATGAGAACTATTTTGTCGACGTCCATCAGCTATGTGACAAATTCAACAGAAAGACCCGCAGCAATATCGGGTACAAAACGCTGTTGAAGATTTTTGCACTCGATCCGAAATGCAGATACACCGTCCTCGCGATCAAGCACCCTTCGGCTGCCGAGAACAACCAGGAGTGGGTTGTCATCAAGGTTCGTGCCAGTCAGGGACACGCCAGCAGCGTTGATGCTGATGGCGACATCAGCCGGAATCAGTATGCACTTGCGAAGGCCGTCTATGGGAAGCATCTCCCGGAGGACGCTCGCAAGGTTGGACTGCAACTTTCACCGGTTGATGATGGCCCTGGCAAACTATACCATCGCACGAGCAAGAACGCAGCCGAGAACATCGTCAGGACAGGTTTGGTCCCGGGTGGCGTTGGTGTCACGGAGAGTGGCCGCTCGCAAAGCCATTTTTCCATCCACCCGGTAGAGAGCTCATCGTACAATGCTGGAGTCCGAGCAACTATGCCCATTGAGTTGGTGATCGACTTCAAGTATGCGATTGAGCTCGGAGTGGTGTTTTTCCTTTCCGAGTCTGATGTCATGCTGACCAACGACATCGTTCCCAATGACTCCATTCTGTACTACACAGACGCGAAGACCGGAGAAGTGCTTTGGAGGAACGCCCTTCGGCTTGAGGCATTGGAGAATCAAACGACTGTCGATATGCTCGCCGCAAGGCGAGCCGTCACTGTGACTGCAGACGAGGCCTTTCAGACCGATGCGGAGGGGAACAGGGCCACAAATCCTGAAGAAGAGCAGACAAATGAGGATACGGCCGCTTCTTGCCCGGGGCAACCCGCGGCCGACACCTCAGTTGTCCGTTTCAAGACCTTTGCGATGCCCGTCCACTACACGGACTGCAGCCTCTGCGGCGAGGACATGATGCAGGGGCAGATCAAGTGTCAGCGCTGTGGACGGAGCACCAAGGAGACCAACGACGTCCAGCTCTTCAGAGCCGCAAAGCGGAGGATGCAGATGCTTGAGGAGGTGAGCCACCGCGTCGGCAAGACGGTTGACCAGCTCCTCATCAATGATTTCAAGGGCTATGCTGATGTTGCAAAGAGAGGAGCAACATCCTTTGAAGCCAAGCAGATCGAGGCTTCAAAGAACTACGACAGCAGGGCCCGCAAGCTTGGGTACGGCAACGTGGTTGATCGGTTCGACAAAGACGCAACCTTTGCCCTTCGCATGGTGGAGCAAGGGCACAACCGCGACAGCCTCTACCAGATGTCCATCTATAGGTTTTGTGTCCTCCCCGAATTTCCACGGAGTTATGACCAACGACTTCTCGGGGTTGGGCCACGCTATGGAAAACGAGGCCTCCAATATGTGAGGACCGTCTACGTCACCGGCGGCCAGGTCGGGGACTATGACGACAGCCTGCTCGAGTTTCCATGGCTATTCTCGTACAACGGGAAAATGCTGAGTCTTCATCAATTCGTCGACCAGGTCAACATCCTCCCGGGGATGCGCAATCTTGTCACCTTTGGCGGGAAGTTCCCTACGCTCCGGGCAACCGGAGCCGTGGACCTCGAAGCTGAAGTCAAGGAGATTTGCGGCCAGGCGGAGGACGATGCGAAGAAGCTCGCACGGCGCAGCCAAAGGCAAAGCGCCGAGGACCGCGCCCGCGGACCTGTGCAAGCTGCTCAGCCCGCCTCCAGCTCCGCTGCCAGAAGCCGAAGCTGGAGAGATTGGGGCAGTCAGGACTGGAGCAGTCAGGACTGGAGCAGCTGGCAGTGGTCGACCTGGAGTTCGCGCGGCTGGTCTACTAGCGGAAGGTGGTGAATGCAATCCTCATCACAACGGAGCCCTTCTGAGAGAGAGTAGCAATTTGCATGCACGACGGATGTGTAATGTCCATTTTCAACGTGCAATGGATGTGCGTATGGAATCAAAGCGGGTTGCAAAACCTGCCGACATTTTCGTTGTTGCTCAATCTCAAATGAGGGGGGTGTGGATTCAGGTTCCAACCCTGTGCATGAGTGTACCTTGTACATGCTCCGCCGCTACAGACTTCAATAGCACTACCAGCAGTGTGAAAAGTAGTCAACGGTTTGCTGCTTGCCTAGGTATTACCTTAGGTGGCCTAGGCTTGATAACACATGCTGTGCCTGCTTTGACCGACCTCTGAACTTTTTTCTGAGAGACAAGACCACAGGACAGGGGTTGTTTACTTTATTTTGCCATGGGAGTAGCACTGTGGGATGGCTTCGACCATGTTTGAACCCAGAACGTTTTTTGGTATTTGCGTTGGGGAATCGAAGCATTCTGGTGCGAAATGGATTTCGCAACCATCCAGTATGTCATGGCACGCACGCCCTTTGTCGCTTTGCCAGGATGGACTTGCCAGTGGTGGTCGTAGAGGAGGCCGCGGTGACGACAGGTTGATCTTGGGGAGCTGGAGGGACTGGATCCAACCAGTTGTTGCTCAACTTCCATTTGGTGAAATGAGTATTGTTGGCGTTTTTTTTTATTGTTGGTTTACTGGACATATGCACATATATATATATAAAGAAACATATATGTTTCCAGGGGACGGAAGCAAATGGAGGTCGAAACTTTGGCTGTTAGACCGAAGGCAGCTTGCACTTCAGCGAGGCGGAGACGGCTTGCATTTGTTTTCTTCAACTTGCTGGCTGTTTAGGATGTCGCTTCCATGTAGTTTGAGAGGATGATACGAAGTGAGTTCCTTTGTGGTTCCTTGGGACGGGGGGGAATCATTTTTTCCGGGTCGAGCAGACGGCCCATTGCGTGCTGAGTGACTTTTTGGTTCATTTGCGGGGCTTAGTGCGGCAGTTCAGGCGGTTTGTCCGGAACTGGCCCCAACCTGTCGGTTCAGTAATGGATCGCCTTTCCCGGCCTCCCCCCCCCCAAGTCCCCCACAATGCAGAGGCTCGGTTTGTCTGGACCTCAAAGACAGCAAGTCAGGAAACCCCTGATTGGTGGGTTGGATCTGTAGAGGGTAAATGTGGTTCCCCACCCCTACCCACCCTACAGCAGTTCAGGTGGTTCTATTGGTTCAGTCATGGAACCCCCCAACTCTCCCAGCGGCTCGGTTTGTCTGGACCTGAAAGGCACCACGTCAGGTAACCCCCAATTCGCGGTTTGGATTGGTTCGGATTTGGATATGAATCCCTGGTGCTTGAGAGGGTAAATGGGTGAAACCCCACCCCTCAACGACTAAACCACCAATCCGGTGAGTAGTGGCCTCTCACAGGAAACGCAACCAACCCCAGGGGGTCCTTTTCAACGGGAGATCGGAGTCTTTGCTCCAAACTTCACCAATTGGACTTGCTGGTGCGAGAGATGCAGGGAATGAGAACTGGAATGACCCGTCATAAACCATCCAACTGGGGCTCTGGAGGTGGCTTCTCGAGCTACAAAACGCTTGCATGCAGCATGAGCTGGGCCGCCAGGGCGAAGCGGTTGCCTTTAAGCGCTAGGTCCCCCCAGTGGTGCCCTTTTACCCTTTTTGGGGGCAGGGTTCCCCTACTAAAATAGACTATAGGAAAAAGTTGGCACCTTTATTCTAACCTCTCAAATCTGGAGGACCTAGAGGGCGTGGTTTCCTTTAAGGGCATCCCCAGGGCTCCTTTTTGTTGTTTGCTTTATTGGGGTCCCCTTGGGTCCCCTTTGTTTTCCACTAGCAAACAATCATCCCTGGGATCATTCCAACTCTTTCCTACCTATCGCGCCAGCAAGCTTTTTCCGCCCGGACCATTGGATCAGGAGCCCTTGAAGCCTCGCAAAGGCCGGCGCTGGCAAGGCCAGAAGAAGCCGGGGCTGGGAGGTTCTGTGTGTTTTTGGTGAGTTGGCACCCACTTTTTGGGTGGTTTGGAAGGCAGGGTTCCACTTTTTGACTGCAGGGTAGACTTAAACACTGTGGTTCATTTCCGTGAAAAGGGCGACCCCTGGTTTTAAGCCTATCTTGGAGTAGTCAAAGAGTGGAACCCTGAAGGAGCACCGAAAGGAACACCCAGGGCTGGGAGGTTGGGTTGAGTTTCTCTCCCCTTGGTGAGAAAAGGAACATCGAAAGGAACATCGAAAGGAACTTACGGGGAGGGGGGTCCCGAAAGAGGGATCCCTTTCTCCGGAGAGCCTGGGGGTTTCGTTCACTTTGGGCTGAAAAAGAAGGATGGAGGACCTGGCGGTTCCGTCAATGGCTCCAGCATGGAAAGACTGCAAGGGCGGCCTGTGAACAGATCTTGGCCGTGGAAAGAGATTGAACACTGTCCAAGCACGGTTGAAGCCATTGTTTGTAGAGATCACGAAATCCGTTCGCACCACGCAATGAAATCATGGTTGAAACCACACCGTTTGTTGGTATTTGTAGGGCAATGGCCTCATTCCAGGGTTTTCGTAGGTGGTGCAAAATGGATTTTGCAACCATCCACAGCATGGATGGTTCCGCGAAAGTCATCCATTTGGCGGTGGTTGTCAAAAATGGGAATCGGCCCAAAATGGGTTCCCTGGTTTTCTGGAACCAAGGACGAGTTAACCAGCGGTCCATATCCTGGTGGTGTAATTTGACCCATACCCATTTCGCACCACCTGTCAAATGCCCAACGGAATGATTCGAACTCCCAACATAAATACTGGGAAAGCGTTTGTTTTTGTCACTTTTCCTTGCTGGTTCTCAGCAGGGAATCAGGGAATGACCCCTACAAACCATCCTATCATCCAAAGCTTCTTTTCTTTAAGGGTGCATTCCCAAAGCCCTGGGTCAGTCCCTGAGCACCAGCAAGTGCTGTCCTTGATCCAAGCACAAAGCAGACACGTGCCCTCCAACTAGCATCGGGTGAAAGAGATCCAAATGGATTTTATCGAAGACATGTTTGAGTCAGGGGTTGGCCAAACAACTGGTCCACCATCCGCACAAGCTTGTCGCCTTTGAGTCTGTTTGGGTGCAATTCCAAAATAACCCCTCGATCGAGGTGGCTGGATCTCAGAATGGCCCAGAGGTTGCTGGGACCCCAAGGTTGATCGCGTTGATGCATTTGGGGGTGTCCTCATTTGGGTATGGGTCAATGTGAAACTACCAGGATTATGGACCGCAGGCCATGTCTCCACAAAACCCAGGGCAAGCCATTTTGGGGTTGCCCAATTTTTGACAACCACAGTCATTACGAGGGGAGCCTTCGCTTGGGTGAACACCGCCCTCATCTAGGTGGATACCCTTCCATTTGCTGAAATGATTGTTGTTTTGGCATTTTCCTCTCTTCGCTACTGGATATGTATATATATATATACACCTTTATACATATTTTTCCTTTTTTCCAGGGGACTTAAGCAAATAGGTGTACCAATTTTCTGGGACAGAGCCACTCCTTCTCCTTGACGTCTCACGTGCCAGGGCTGCTTCAGCGCTGCCCCGAGCTGTTGAATCAGGCCGGGAAGTCGGCCAGACTCCGAGGCCAAATGTCTTGGATGCGGTTTGAATGTAACAACATTGGTGGCTCCCAGCCATCCGGTTCCCTAGCTTTTTCGCAACTTTTAGCAGTCAGGGGTAGTTTCCGTATTTAACCCACTAAAAGTTAAGCTTTTAGCGGGGGATCTAAAAGCAGCCCAGGGATATGGAGGGATGCCTGGCAGGGTTTGGATGGCTAGTTCTCAGACGTGCTAGGTGATGCTTGCTTCATCAATCAGCTTACCATTCACATGATCAACCACTTCAATACACAAGCTTGAGGGGAACAAGTCATGCAAGCAAAGGATTGCGTATGCAGCGTCGCAAGGGTGCCAGTATGAAAAAAAAGCGAGAAATCCAACGTTTTGTTTTGTTGACATCGCTTGCCTTTTGGTAGGAAGCACTCAGAAGAACGGAAGTAGTGCCCTCATGGCACACATGTCGCGCAATGTGTCCTCTGCAAAACTCGCGGAGAGGGGAGGTGTTCCTGTCGCTTCCCTTCACCATTGTCGAAGCCACGGGGCCGTTGGAGCCATGAGCCAGGGGAGTTGCGGAAGAAATAGGTGGGGTTCCACTGGTTCAGATTGGTCTTATAAGCCATTTACCAGGGCCATTGGTCACCAATGACAGGGGTTCTCTTTAAGAGGACATTTTATCTTCCAGGTACAAATGCTATGTTAGTGGGAGGAAGGGCAGGTATGTGTCAACAGCGGGAACACCTTCTGGTTCATGTTGACAGTGTTGACAGGACACCAGAACGAGATGTACCATTTGCACGGGTAAAGGCCTCATGTGCTGCAAAATGCTATGCATGTTACCGGGGAACCACCTGAAAAAAGTGGTTAGTGGACAAGCCAGTCGGCACCTACACGATCAAACGGCTTTGCAGTAGGATCGTCTATCATGTGGCTGACGTGACAGGGGCAAACCGCTGAACCGCCGAATCGGCAGGTGGTGGCCTTGCTGCCCTGGCTTCTTTGCCAGGTCCCCAGATCCAAGCGGGAGCGGAGGCCTCGTTCCTCCGTGGTTTTGGCACCAATGTCCAGCACAAAGCAAAATGACGGGCACACCTGTTGCAAAGAAAATCGCGAAAAACCATGTAAGCAGCTGATACGATGGATGCCCTAAAAGTTGCAAGCAGGGAACAAGTTAACTTGGACACCCAACGTATTTTCAGCCATGATTGGTTTGCTTGCAATATGCACGATATCCGTTTCGCACCACCCGTTCAGAAACCCTATGATTCGATTCCCCAGCAAGTACTGCAACAAACCATGGTTGGCTTCAACCCTGGTTTCAGGGCTGGTGCGAACCGAATTTCGCAACCATCCACTTCCCAGCAAATACTATACGCAACCAACAAAGGTTCACCTGACATCACTGAGACACATGAAAAATGATGAGTCCCCTCTAAATGCCGTAACAAAGGATATGGTTATGAGTTACTTTGCCCTGCAGAAGCTGAACATCCTGAAACACTTATATTTTGTCGTTTTCTCGTCGTTTCTCTGTCATTTCATTTGGGTTCGTCGGCCTTGTTTTGTCTTGTGGCCTCGTTTTTTTTTTTTTTCTCTCTTTTGCCCTGTTTTCTCCGTTGCCAGCATTGTCTCAGCGCTTGCTTGCGGATGGGCTTCACGCCTCCCAGGCCTGGCGGCCTTGGGGCCATGGCTGCCGGAGGCCTGGATCGGGAGGACCCGGGCGGAGGTGGCGGGCGGCGGGCGGCGGGCGGCGGGCGGCGGGCGGTCGCGTTTTTTTTTTTTTTTGCCCGGGGTTCGGAAAGGAGTCTCCGGTGGGTATTGTTCTGGTACACCGCGTTTTTAAGGGCGGGATGGTTGTTTTGCTGGCTGTCCTGTGGGTATTTCTCGTACAAGCACCGCAAAAAAGGCGGTATGTGTCCAAAACAGGCCGAGCGTGGCGAAGATTTTCCGAGCTGCGTCAGGGTGCCAAGTTCCACAGATGCCGAGGGGACTGAACTGGGGACGGCCTAAGACTGCTTCGTTGCGTGTCAGGGACCTGGACCTCATGTTTGTTCTCTTTGGCCGGGAGAGACGATAATGTGGGCTCTCGTGCTGCCAAGTACTGTGGCAGTCTCGCTTGAGATGGGTGCATTGTCAGTAGATGGAGCTGGCAGTTGAGATTGCTGGCCGAAACCAAGGCGACACATTGGAAGGCTGACTTGGCACACCGCTTCGGGGACTGATCGGACGTGGGTGAGGAGCATTACCTTTCAATTTGCGGAATCGGGTTTGTCTCCAAATGATTGGGGTTGACTCCTCGAAAATGCCAAGGGTGTCCTTTTGGACACGCACGATTCTGGTTTCCAAGCGTACCAAACAGTTGGTAAAGTTAAAGGGTGCGAAATACCGGATAGATGTTCTAATGTTTCTTCAAAACAGCTTTCCAGCAGGGGGAGGCTGGGGCCTATAATATTATATGTATATATATATATATATATGTATATATATATACACACATCCGAGGGACTTAAGCATAAGGACATAAAACGGCCAGGGCTGAACACCCTACGCAGTGGGTTTTCTCAACAGGCGCAGGCCGGGCTGCTGAGTGCCCTGTGCTGCCGCCTCGCTTAGGGGTTGAGTCCCGACAAAGCGCTCAAGGTTTTTCCTGGGGTTTCTTGTATGTTTTTGTTTTTGTCAATCCCCAGGTTGATGTGGCTCGTCTTTTGTGGGGGGTTCTCTTTTGCTTTCATGTTTTAGTTTCAAATTGTATTTGTTGTTCATGTGTGTCTCAAAACAGGAATCGGACCCCTTCCTGGATGGTTGTAAAAGGAAACTAAAAGGAAACCACCAACCTGAAGGGGTCTCCAATTTTGAGAAACACCCCTATATATATATATATCTACATATATATATATATTTATACATACAGCCTTTATCGCAGCTCGCCCAACCCGTCCAGCGAGCTCGTCCAACCCGTCCTGTTTCTCAGGCAAGTCAGGACGGGTAAAACTCAGAGCTAAGCTCGGGGATCAAGCAGCCCAAAGTAGATCAGAGCAACTCAGGGTAAGCCATGGACGCCGCGTTGGAAACGCAGCGGGAGTTAGAGGATGAGAAGAGGCATTAAATCAGGAACAAGCAAAGCCAGTGAAAAAGAGCAAAGCCATTAGGCGCTGGAAATCTGGGCAGATTCCAGAATCCGGCACGCCAGAGAGAGCAGGAACAAATATCAGAACCCCAGCAACACCAAAAGCAGTGGAGAAGAAAAACAAAGAGACAATGAAAAGAAGCGCCAGCGTCATGGAGATATCAGAGCAGCTCAATTGTGTGGAAGTCAGGAGGTAGAAAAAGGCAAGAGTGTCTTGCTTGCCGACACTCTTGCCCCGATCCCAAACTCAGGGAGGCCCAAGCTGGCGCCGAAGAAGGAAAGCCAGGAACGCCGGTTTATGTTTGAAAGGGTCGATGTTGTAGCCGATGGCAAACAGGTAATAGTTGATCAAGACCAACCAGGTACTCGACACAACACAAAGGGTAGAAAAGCAGGGCCGCCAAGCAAGGGAAATGCCCAGGCCCCACGCCCCAACGTCGCTTTGCCTCAACATGTTGCCAAGTCAGGTTGGGGCATGCACTAGGAGTGGCGTTGGGTTGCGCACCACCACTCTACCTTTAGGCGGCAAGTGACGGCAAGCCGAGCTCCACAGAAAAGAAGGGCAAGTGAGCTGCTCTCCTGCATGTCGGACCTTAAAGCTTTGACCAAGACCCAATTGTCTATTGATGGCCCTTTAGCAAAACATCTGCAGGGTGTGCCATGTTTCTGCATAATTTACGGCAAGCTGACCTGAAGACCATGATAAAGGTCGTTTACTTGGGGATTCCGTAAGTCAGCTCCCTCTTTGGCTTCCCTTTGGCTCATGGCAGGCTGGCCACGTCCTTGGTCTTCAGCTCAAACATGGGAGGCTGCGGGTCGCAGGGGTCGAAGGTCGAAGGTCGGATGCTGCCCTTCGATTCGGGCTGAAGGGCGTCTAACAAAATTCGCGAGCTTCATAAATCCTCCAAATCAGGGGGTGATTGGGTGATACTTTAGAGAAGTCCAGAAATGTGGACACTTTGGAGGATGGCCATTTAGTTCAAGCGTGGTCAGGTGGCGCTGCCTCCGGAATGCTTCAGGTGTCCTGGGTTTCGGTTTGGTTGAACATACATGGTTTGAATGTTAATGGGGCAGTCCCTTTGTGGACATCATTTAGATGGGATTCATGTCCACAAACCACGTGCGAGGTGGTTCCATATCAGATTCATGGCCAGACAGATGTGACTGGTGTTAGTTCTAATCAAAAGGGCCGAGGCTATTTTCCGCAACGCCGAGGCTTCCAGAAACCCAGTGGCCAATGCATTTGGGTGTGTCCCCTTTTGGGAACTTTTTGGTTGGGTTGGCTTTGAAAGGCAACGCAAAGGAAATGAAACATCTTTGGGGAGTGCCCGAATTCTGAGACAGACCCAACATCCATTTGCACCCTATACTTGAATGGGGAATAATTTCACCACTGGCAAGTTGTGGCAGGAGATTCCTTGGGTTTCTTTCGGGTTTTTAGGGGCCTTCCACAAAATTGCTTGGAGGGCACTTCCCCATTCTTTCCAGGGATCCTTCTTTCCAGAAAGCCATCAGAACCCTCAAAAAAACGGCAATTTTTTTAGAAAAGAACGATGGCTGAAAAGATGCAAACGCCAAGTTAGTCTCTGCAAAGGGGCGAGGCGTGTTCTAAGTGGTGGTTAGGGGGAGTCTGAGACGGGGAGGGGGGGTCCCGCGGCAGATTTTTGACACGCCTAACCTCTAACCCTAACCTCTAACCCTAACCTCTAACCCTAACCTCTAACCCTAACCTATAACCCTAACCTCTAACCCTACTTGTCCCTTGTTCATTGGGGTTGTCTTCAAATAGAGCGACTCCCATTTGGACCTCCCCGAACGGGATTCCACAAGTTCTGGTTGTCCAGAGCCCATCTCTTCCCAGGCCTCGACTTGAAGCCCCTGCTGCTCGCTTTGATCTCCTGGCCCGGGCCCAGCGACCGCTGGTGCCGCGCCGTGCTGAAGGCGACTGATGTGGTGCTTCGTCGGCGGCTTCGCGCTTTTCGGCCCCGGCCCGGAAGGAAGGAAAAAAAAACACGAGGCGGGGCGCCCCCAAAAAGAACTAGGTCCCCCAGTAGTGCCCTTTTACTCTTTTTTGGGGGAAGGTTCCTCAACTAAAATAGGCTAGGAACCTGAACAATTGCTGACCAAGCAGGTGGTTGGTTGCGACCGCCAGAAATCGCACCACCTTATAGAAACCCTGGAATGATTTCACAAACAATGGTTGCAATCCGTGTTTCTTGGATGCCGCAGATTTTTGTCCATCCACGATATATTCCATGGTCAGTTGTTTTTGTTGCTCTATGACCCTAAACCCGGATTCAAAATGCTTTGGCCCTTGATGTTAAAGTGCGGTCGCCGAAGCATGTTTTTCTATGCTAAGACTAAGACTGTGTTGCCAGGAAATCCGAGCAGACGTGTTTTCGGTCACATAAATATGCCCCCTACTCCAAATACCCATTTTGTTTAAAAGTAGTTGTTTGAAAAGCCAGGGTTTCCATGGTACATACCTCCTTTTTTAGTAGAGGGTCAACATCATACCCTAAAATTAGGTATTTGGAGTCTTGTCACTGGATAGATTTACTCACTGACGGAGTTTCTGGACTTGAGTTACTTTTTGGGTTTGGACCACTTTGGTAGTAAACCAAAAGTTTAGGCTTTGTTTGGCCAATCTACTCAGGAAGTGAGCTTATGGGTGGTTCGCATACCCCTACAAATTCTCATGGAATCCCAAAAAGGCGAACCCCCCCGCAGATCCCGATCCTTAAAATGGCGTTTTTTTGGGGCTCCATGTTAAACAGCTTCCAGTTTCAACATGAGGTGCGTTTCTGGATTTCGCGAAACCATCCACAGACGTGTGCCGATGTGGGTATGGGTCAAACTGAAATCTTAAATCGTCCTTTCCATCTACCGATCGGGCAACGCGTTTCGGGGTTACTACTGGAACAGTTGTTGCTTAACTTCCATTTGGTGAAATGGAACGCCATTATATTGACAAACATCCCAACCTTGTGGACGTCCTAGTTTGTGCCACGGCATGGGGTGGGGGAAAATGGAATGTCGCTTTTGCCTTGTTGCTCAACTTTCCTCTTGGTTTTTTCAGGGAGTCAATTTCACTACTGGACATATTTTTGTGTCTTTTGCGGGGACTTAAAAGCTGGAGCCACAGCCATATTGCCAGCTGCCCGCACATAGGATCAGGAGCTCTGTATCGACGCCGCGCTGGGTGGGTTCAGCGTCGGCCCCAGCTCGGGGCCGGCTCGCTCGGGCGTGAAATCCTGGAGTCCTTATGAGCCTTAAAAAATGGGTGGTCATTACCCAGGATAAGCGGGTCATGGACCCATTTTTAAAGGGTCATGGAGACTCGAGACTACAGGTTGAGCTAATGGGCTTTAGTCACTTTCTGGGACGGTTTGGACCATTTTTGGGGTCAACAAGCAGCTTGGGCAAGAACGGGGCATGGGGGCGAATGTGCTGTTTCCAAGGCCTTCTGCCTTGATGAACACTAAACAGGGCATTGCCCTCTTGTCAACTGGCGGAGAGTTCCCACAGCTCGAGATGGACCCACATTGCAGTGCTGCAGGGGAAGCGTCTGTGGACGATCCCCGAGTAGGACCTTAGGACCTGATTAGTCGGCAAGGCTTCTTCGGGATGTCGCTACTGGTTGAAACAGAGCCAAAGCTCAAGGGTAGAAAGATGGGATGTCTTCCCTTTCTTCCATCCGTTGGACGTGCCCAAACGGCCAAACCTTGTGCCACTCACCCGCAGATTTTCAACCTCAGGGGGCGCGAGTGCCACTCACCCATTAGATCGATCCCCGGTGGAGTTTTCGGGATGGCGCGAAGGGTGCCGCTCTTTCCGTGCCTTTGCGTTGCCCTGGCCATGGCATTGCTGGCGATGACTCTTCTCGGCAGCCAGCTGCCGGAGGAGCGGTTCCGGGGGAAATCCAGGTGGATGTGCGTGGGCGGTTCCGGGGGTGATATGTATGAGTGCGTCTGTTTTTGAGGCTACCCAAAAAAGGGTTCCCCTATTTGAGACAAAGCCCCTATTTTTAGGTGCGGAAAGTCGGGAGCAACAAGTTCCCTTGGAGAAACGCCTTGGAATGTTGATTTTCTCCCTTACAAATCAGTATGGCCAGGAAGCACTCATTTGTAGAGGAAACTCCTCCTGGTGGAGCCTCCTTTCCGTTAATTCCACCGGAGACATGACGTGCCTCCCTGAGTCCAGGTCAGTTTGCAGCACACTCATGGCATGTGTTTGATGTTTAGGTGCTTTGATCATTGGTCCCAGTTTTGAAGGTTGACAAAGGAAAAGCAACCATTTGGAGGGGTCGGAAGGGAATCAGGGAGCATTCGAAGCCCCCCCCCCTTCACCTTGGTTGGTGGATGTTTCCCATGCTTTGCTGGTTCTGTTTCGCGAATCCACAGATGGGTGTGCCATTTGTTAAGGATTGGGACCCCCAAAATGGACTTCGGTTTTCCTTGGCGTTTCCCTTTAAAACCACGCAACAGGGTACCAACACCAAAAACAAGACATGCCCCAAAGAGGCCAAATGGAATTTCCATTTGAGTTTGCCCATCTCCAGGAATCTAAAACCCAAAAATGGTCAAGGTACGAAGTGCAAGACACCAATTCGATCTGCTTCCGGATCCGGTTGAGTTTGTGTGGTGAACTTGGCGTATTTCATGCAACTTAGGCAACGCTTCCCAAGAAGATCTTGCGGGTTCTCAGCAGGGAATCAGGGAATGACCCTTATAAACCATCCAACCGGTGGTTTCCTTTCTTCGGGGAATTTTTGGGTTCATTCACCAGCAAGAAATACAGACCTGCAGTCGTTGCGCTTAGAATATCTTGTTGTTTTACCCCTAGGATTCTGGCTGGAGTTTCCATGACCCTTTAAAAATGGGTTCATGACCCCCTGATTTTGGGTAATGACCGACCATTTTTCAAGGGTCATGGAGACTCCAGATAGTTTTTTTTTTTTTTCCGCTGTTTAGGCACCCACCCACCGAAAGACGGCAGGGGCCCTCCCTCTGCCCTCCGCCCCCCGCAGCGATCTCCGCGTCGAGGACGAGGCCTTCGTGAATTCCGGGACGCCCTCGACGCGGGGAGGAAACGTGGCGATGCAGGGGAGGAAGTTCACGGCGGCGGACCGGGGCACCCCGGAGTATGAGGCGCCCAAGTTTGGGGTTTGGGCGGGGGGGGGGGGGTACGGGGTGCCTATACTATACCAGGGTCGAAGCCCCATTTACTTTCAAGCACATAATTATTATGATTGTAGAGGGCTTAAGACCCATTATGTTGCGGGGAAGGGGGGTGCCTTGGGCGACTCCTATTTGAGGGTTTGGATTGGTGGCTTGGATTCGGCTTTGACTCACTGGTTCTTCAAAAAAGAAAAGGTTAATGGTGAACCACCGGCGATTCTTTTTCAGGGAAGCGTAGCGCCATTCTTGCAATGGGGTTCCCTACAGTGTTCCTGAAAACATCACCCTGAGGGTTTCCCTCAGACCCTCACCTAAGTCAAAAAGGTGATGCTGAAACTTTGAAACCGGCCAAGAAAACAAATGGGTGTGTCATTTTTTAGGACCCCCCCCCCTCAAATGATTGGCTTTCCTTTTGGTTTCCCTTTTTACGCACCAAATGGGTACCCTCAAAAAAACAAATACCTAAATATTTGGTGGCTCCCAGCCATCCCCCTTAGCTTTTTAGCCTTTTAGCGTTTAGTGGGGGTTTCCGTTTAACCCACTAAAAGGTAGTCACTTTTAGCGCGGGATCTGAGGGCAGCCCAGAATATGGGGAACCAAATAGGGTATCCTCAGAAAAACAGACACCTAAATATGGGCCCCCTCCCCCAAATGATTGGTTTCCCTTTTGGTTTCCCTGTATACAAACAAAATATGGTACCGTTATATATGGCCGTGGGTACAAACCGATGGTACCATTTTGGGGTAGGTGCACCACCCTTTTTAGAACCCATTTTAGTGGTTGGATTGGGATGTTCACTGGGGGTACGGGATTTTGGATTTTGACCCATGGCCATATGGGGGACTTTTGCCAACTATTGGATTTTCCATACAACCCAGAAAGCAACCAAGTCAACTGTGGGGACTGTCCAACCACAGCAGTGTTTCCCCTTATGCACACCAAATAGGGTACCCTCAAAAAACAGACACCTAAATCAAGGGGGACTGTCCCACCACGATGCTTTTCCTTTTGGTTTCCCTTTATAAAGTAGGGTACCCTCAAAAAACAGACACCCAACCCAAGAAGTGCTTTAAACTTTTTGGGAAAACCATGTTAGTGGTAAATATCAAGTTTTAACTTTTTTGCACCATCCACTCATCAAGTGAGTCCAACCAAAAAAGTGGCAGGATTCCCCGGATTTTTGACGGTTTCCTGAAAAGGATCCCTGGAAAGAATGGGGAAGGTCGCCGAAGAGTTGTTTTCTGGGAGACGGTCCAACCCAACTGCAGGAGTATTTCCGGAAGAAGAAGGAGGTGAAGAAAGCGGCCTGGGAGCGCATGACCACCGCCAACGGCTACCGCGACGCCGGGGTGGACATTCCCGGCTTGTCGTGGCCCGGAAGAGAGCTGGACACCCTCGGTTTCCTTTGGTGTGAGTGGGGCTCCCTCCAACAAAAGACGTTTTTTGTTTTTTCCCTCCAACCAAAGACTTTTTTTTCCCCCCAACAGCTGCAAGCTTTGGGGTCTCAGCCCAGATAGGCGCCGGGGTGGTTCGGGGCGGCCCTGAGGTAAGGTTCCCCGAGGGTTCCACCAGGGTTCCACGAGGGTTCCACGAGGTTCTGCAAGGGCTGCGGGGTGGTGCGAGCACTAAAACGAGCGCCGTATATACTGTTGGGGATCACCTGAGCTTATTTCTGGGTGGGGCGGGGGGGAGTGGGGGTTGGGCTGGGCGACAGTGGGCAAAGACAGCCTGTTGTTATTATTATTTGTTGCCTTGCGTTTCTTTGTTTGTGTTGATTTATTATATATATATATACATATTTGTTGGGGGGGGATGGTGGTTCTGGCGCCCTAGCAAGTCCACCACCCGAATGGGCCAGCGCGAGTCCGCTCCGAGGGCCCCCGCCCCAGCGCCGTCGGCACCGGCGCCGTCCCCGATGAGCAGTGGCGGCGGGGAGAGCGGCGGCGGCAACCCCTTCCAGCCGCTGGGCGAAGAGTTTTTTTGCGTCGGTTGACCCCCACAAAAGGGGGATCATTGGTGGTATTACAATACTGGGGGGTATTATTGGGGGGTATCATTGGTACAATATTATGTTTTGTTTTTTGTTTTTAACAATACTGTTTGTTATTGTTTGTTGGTATTTGTGCTGGGGGATCGAATCATTCCGTTGGATTTCTCAGGTGGTGCGAAATGGATTTCGTCCCTCCACAGTAGGGGTAACTTCCATTTATTCTGAATCCAGGGATCCGGATCTTTCTAGAAAACCACCAAAAACCCTGCAAACATGGCGATCGGTTTTTGGAAAGAACGATGGCTGAAAAGAATGGGGAATGAACCCCTAGAATTTTAAGTCGGCCGTCAGGTAAGTGGGTCACTCAACAAGTTTTCTGGGTTACACTACTGTGGATGGACGAAATCCATTTCGAAACCAGGAAAAATAATTAATAAAAGGAAATCATTCCAGGGGTCTCTTAGGTGGTACTGGATTTCGTCCATCAACGGTCCATCAACGGTATGTAGGGTAAATTCCTCGGAAACAACCACAAGTTGGCCTTGACCAATCTAGCTGAGAAGGAAGCAGACCTGACTAGTTCAGACATCATTTTGCGAGCGTCCTTGGACGGTCGCCACCTCATTCCCTACTTGCAGTGGGTTGGCAAGTTGCGGTCATTTGCATCATGATTGAAGACCTTGCACAGCAATCCAACCTGGGCCCCTGGGCCCAACGCCTGCTTTCGGCCACATCCCCTTAGGTTTTTAGGTTTTCAGTTGGTTTAGTGGTTGGGTTTCCGTAATTCACCCACAAGTCATGCAACCTTTAGCAGGGGTCTCAAAAACGGGGCAGCCCAGGTTCATCATCGACCTCTTTAACCCGACCACCACCACCACCACGACGACGCCTCCGCCCAACCCCATCGAGGCATTCTTTAAAGGCCTCCGATGAGGTGCACAGAAGTGGTTTTCGCCGGACAGAAGTTTTCTCGTGGCAGCAAAAGCGGCTCTCGCGCACACGCGCGTGAGGAGAGAGAGAGAGACATGTGGGTGGCGGAGTGTTTTTTCCTCTTTTTTTTTTCTGGGGGGTACCACTTCTTGGTTGGTTTCGAAGAGAACCAAAAGGAAAGCCCATTTTGAGGGGTGCAAATCCTCAAGAAAGACACGCCCATGTGAGGCAGGGATGGAACCAAGCATCCTTCTGCAAGTTTGGGGCAACCAGGCATGGAGTCGATGATAAACAGGTGTGTCTCAGTTTGTTTGGAGGAACCCGAAGATCTTGACTTTCCTTTTAGGTTCACTTTAAAACCGCAAAAAGTGACCCAGGAACCGTCTTTCACGCCTTCTGAGGGGTTGGCCACGGGTTTTTGATGTTTTTGCAGGTCCCAAAGACAGACCAAGGCTCCCCTGCAAATTCGCATGGATGCTTGTTACATTGGTTGGGCCCAGAAGGAGTTGTTCTTTTGTTATGTTGTTATGTTTTGTTACAGGGTGCTTTACCTTCAAGTTGGCATGAATTGGATGGGCCCCCCTCCAAGCAACCTGAAGGTACACTCCCATTGAGCCACGTGGCACTGGGATTTGGGGTAGGTGAATTCACTAGTTGGATTGGGATGCTCACTGGGGGGTACGATTTGTCTGTTGACCCATGGCCATTTGCGCTGGTCGCTGAGCCGTTTTGGGATCAACGGCCTGGCTATGGCGGCCATGGGGAGGAGCAAGTGCTCGCCTTCGGGACGGCATGCGGACGTGCTGGGGTCCTTTCTGGCATATGTGGAGCGCCGCCCCATGGATCTCAAGATCTTGATTCGACAGCTTCGCAAAGAGCCGCACCTGGCTGGAGTTTAGAAGGATGGGGTTTATGACTTATGTTGTTTGTGACAAACCATAAAAAAGCAGAATTTGGCCAACCATCGAAGCAAGGTACGGATGGGACAGCGCAACGGGAAGCTTCGAGGAGATTGAGCACGCTGAGCACGAAGCGCCGGAGGTGCACGAGTCAAAGGTTTGCCCTTTGCTGAAAGGCACCGGCATGGTCTATGCCAAGCCGCGTATTGCGAGCCTGTGATTCCTTGATGGCCCCCAGCCGTCCGGTTCCTTAGCTTGTTAGCCTTTTTGTTGGTTTAGTGGTAGTTTCCATTTAACCCACTAAACGTCCCCTTAGCTTTTTAGCCTTTTAGTTGGTTTAGTGGTAGTTTCCATTTAACCCACTAAACGTCCCCTTAGCTTTTTAGCCTGTTGGTTGGTTTGGCTGTAGTTTCCATGTAACCCACTAAACGTCCCCTTAGCTTTTTAGCCTGTTGGTTGGTTTGGCTGTAGTTTCCATGTAACCCACTAAACGTCCCCTTAGCTTTTTAGCCTGTTGGTTGGTTTGGCTGTAGTTTCCATGTAACCCACTAAACGTCCCCTTAGCTTTTTAGCCTGTTGGTTGGTTTGGCTGTAGTTTCCATGTAACCCACTGTCCCCTTAGCTTTTTAGCCTGTTGGTTGGAGTTTCCATGTAACCCACTGACACTTTTAGCGGGGGATCTGAAAACGGGCAGCCCAGATTCTTGAGCTCTTGCAGCCGGCTCGGCCAGCAGCTGAAGCTGAAGCGGGGTTTTCTCACGGAAGGCAGCGGTTCCCGCCCGAGGCTTGCCAAAGCGATTCCAAGCACCGCGGCTTTCGTTTCCTGGCCTTCGCAAGACCCAATCCAGGTTCGAAGAATTGGACGGGGTCCAGCCAGCCGCGAAGCAACAGATGCACTGACATGCTGTTTTTTCCGACTGGCTTACCTGCCCTTCCTGTCGCACAAAGAGAGCACTTGCTTCTCAGGGCATGAGGGAATGACCCCTATACACCATCGGTTTCTTGATGCATGACGAATTAGGTTCATTCCCAGAACCCTTGAAATTCCCTCCTGCAAAGCAGCGCGCCAGCTGCGCTTAGCGCCGTTTGAATCGCACACCGAGTGTTCCGCCCACGGAAGGGTTTCCAAGGTGCCCGGAGACAGCAGCTTGTGTCCAAGCGCAAAAGAGGCGATCCGGGCGATATACAAATTTGATCTGTTCCAGCATGGCCGCGCTATCGGACATGTTCTTCTTGCTTCCGTGCGCCCCTGGCTTCTCACACGAAGAGAATACTTCCTGGCTCTCAGGGAATGAGGCCGTCGCTTTGTTTGGAGGGGTTAGGTTCATCTTTTAAAGCTTTGAGATTCCCTATCGAGAACCAGAGAGCATAGGCAAAGCGTGCGAGTTTAGAGCTCTTTGAACATTCAACTGTTTTGTCCGCAGATCGGTTGCCAATCTCTGCACAGATCCAGCAGTTCCTGGTGACAGTGTGTCTAAATACTAGATCGCCATTGTTTCTTTTTGGCCCTGTAAACGGTTTTTGGGCATCCATCTGCGAGCCGGACTCCAACTCGGCATCTTCCTGGGCTATCGCCACTGTCGTTTGTCCAGATCCAAATGCGTTAGGCGACTGCCTGATAGGCGTTTCGCCGGTCAGCTTTATCATCGATCATGATAATTTTCCTGCCGGCACAGGGAAAATCTGGCCGACATCTTGTCACTTCCCAATTGACGGGCGGGTGGTTTCTGTGCCCTTCTTGTCGCTCCGACGACAGAACACGGATTCGGATTCCCGCCATTTTGAACGCCCCTCAGTTGACCATGCCATGGGCCATGAGAAGCCTTGTCCCGTGGTTGAAAAGCATTCGAGGACGGGGCTGGCTTGGAGTTTGTGCCTGCAAGGATGTGCAAACAAAAACCAGCAAGAAAGCAGACAAACAGAAGGCAAGCACATAACCGCGCATGCGCACACGCACGCCGGGCACAAGCACACATGCACGCAAGCGCGCAACCACGCACAAGCACGCGCATGCGCACAAGCACACAAGCACTCAAGCACACAAGCACACAAGTAAACAAGCACCAAGCGCACAACCGCGCATGCGCACAAGCTCACAAGCTCACAAGTGCCAGTACGTAAGCACACAAGCATACAAGCACACAAGCAAACACGCACACACATGCCAAGCACCCCGCACCAAAGCACCCACACAAGCATCTCGCACCCAGGCACTTGAGCAGGCAAGCAAAGCGCACCAGCACACAATCACACACCCACACAGCCACCCACCGACACAACACAACACCACACCACACAACACAACACCTCACAACACCACACCACACCACACAACACCACACGACACCACACGACACCACACTACACCACGCCGCGCCACATCACACCACACCACACCACACCACACCACACACGCACAGCACGCACACAACAAACGTACAACACACATACAAACACACACACCGACACACACACACAGACGCACAACAAGCACAACACCACACACACAACACACAAACACACAACACATGCGCCAGCACACACACACACACGCACACACACACACACACACACACACACACACACACACACACACACACACACACACACACACACACACACACACACACACACACACACACACACACACACACACACACACACACACACACACACACACACACACACACACACACACACACACACACACACACACACACACACACACACACACACACACACACACACACACACACACACACACACACACACACACACACACACACACACACACACACACACACACACACACACACACACACACACACACACACACACACACACACACACACACACACACACACACACACACACACACACACACACACACACACACACACACACACACACACACACACACACACACACACACACACACACACACACACACACACCCGCGCGCGCGCGCACACTCCCAAGCACGCAAGCAGGCAACCAAGCAAGCAAGCAAGCAATCGAGCAAGCCTACAAGCGCGCAAGCACGCAGCCGATGACGCATGCCCAATCGCGCAACCATCCAAGCAAAAAAGCGCTCAAGGACGCAAGCACGCATGCTTCAAGCGGGCAAGCACGCAAGCTCACAAGCGCGCCAGTACGCAAGCGCACAAGAACGCATGCGCACACGCAAGCAATCAAGAACGCGCGCAATCACGCGAGCACCCAAGCACGCACGCGCGCAAGCACGAGCACGCATGTGCACAAGCACCCAAGCACACGTAATTCGGCAACCCGCAAGGGCGAGCATGCAAGGACGCAACACATGAGCACTAGGCCGCAAGCGCGTAAACACAGAAATAGAGATTCGTCAACATCGGGGCTCAGAGCACAAACCGGGGAAGGGGGTGCAGAAGGTCCAAATAACAGGGCCAGGGTCTACTTTGATACGAGGAAGCTCCCCTTGAAATGGAGAATCAGTCAGTTTTTCTAGCCTTCCAACAGTTCTGTGGACACGTGGTCTTCCCCGAAAGTTGCTAAGCTGCCAGGACCACAGCTGAGGCTTTGGATGTAATTGGTATTTCCATTATGATTCAGGGTGTGGACATCGAGACGAAGTTGCTGTGTGATAAGGGACCCAAGAGGATTTTGAGGGTACTCTAGGATGAGTGCCGGATGGTTCTAGTTGTAGCATCTTGGCGAGGTTCCCCAGTAGCGCAATTTTACCCCCCTTTTTTGGGGAGTTTTTTTTTCTTCTTTAAATAATAAAAATCGACTACAGAAAATAGGGTACCAACTTATTCTAACCTCCCTACTGGAGGACCTAGTTGGGAGCCAACGGAAGCAAGATTGAGCAGGACGAGCCCTTTTCGCAAGGACGATGGTTGGGCTGAACAAACCGCTTTCAAGGCGACTTTCTCAGGACACTTCTGGAATTTGGATGGCTTAAGGTTCATTAACCTCCCCACTTACATAGTGGAATCCGCAGTTGAGGCATCCAAGATGTTGCTGTGAATTTTCAATCACAGACAATGACTCCCCAATGATGTCCACCAAGGGGTCCCCTGTTCACCCTCCACAAATTACATGGCTTTTGGGGGAACCTCTATTT